ACATAGTCAACTCAGGGATAGCTTTATTTTTAGGGTAAAAAGATTTGGCTTTTTGGGCTGAGATTAAAGTGATTGTCACATAACTTCCCATGGATCAAGTCAGCTTTTTTTGCCAAGAAACTTGCCATGTGGGAAACATTCTTAGCTTGCCTGTAGATATTTTATTAGGTCTAAATGTTCATTTCCATGGATAGAAGCATTTTCCATTCATAGAAGGAGCCTCAGTGGCCCAGTGGAGTGCAGTACTGTAGGCTACTTCTGCTGACTGACTGCTGACTGCAATTTGGCAGTTTAAATCCCACCCTTCCGAGGTGGGTAAAATGAAGACCCAGATTGTTGGGGACAATATGCTGACTCTGTAAACTGCTTAAAGAGGGCTGTAAAGCAATGTAAAGCAGTATATAATTGTAAGTGCTATTGCTACTGCTATTAGAGTCACATAACCATTTATCCATGAAGGAATCCTTCTTCTTTTCATGGAACTGAATATTTGAATCTAACTCTGTTTTGCAAACTTAAACTAATTCATGTTAGCTATGAAAGACATAAGTCACACATGACTCTTAATCTCTATGCTCCTGGCAAGTAGATGAAACCTCTAAAATAAAAATCATGAGCAATAAAATATGATAAAACTTTAAATAAGTAGGGTTTTAAATTAAAAAGTTAAATATACTTCAATTTATGTTTCACATTTTGATGTTACAATTCAATTTCTTCAAATGAAAGAATTATTATAGTGATAATTTATTTTTAATGAAGCAATGAACTTATCATTCGTTATACAACTTCAATTTGTAATGAATTTGGGATATATTAATACAGAATGAATCTTGCAAAGAAGTATAGCTAATTTAAGATCACATTCGCTTCTCGTATTTTTAACCATCCATACTAAATGTTCAAAATATCCAATGCACACATGGTTCAAGCAACTCACAGCCCTTAAAAATCAGGACTAAATTCATTGGACTAAATTACAATAACATAAATTCAAGTATTCCTATATAATAAATTTGAATATTGTGCTTATATTATAAATATAGATATTATTTGAGAATATTTTGGGTGAATTTGTACCTTTTTTATCTTTTTTTTCCTCTTCCTCTCCAGCACCTAGTAGAGTAAAGATGATGCCTGTTTGGGAATTAACTCCCACTGCAGTTACCAGCATTCTTCCTGAGCCTTCCATGACATGGGTACCTAAAAAGATATTTAAAATTATAGATATTAATAATCAGTACATTAAAGCTATTAGCTTAGGATAAAAAGTTACAGTCTGGCACTCTCCAAACTTGGATGTTTTCTTGTAAACGTTTCATTACCAAATTAAGTAACATCACCCATGCTATTGGCTTGTTACTAGTTTGGTAAAGAAACACCTGCAGGAAAACACCCAACCTCAGAGAGGAAGAGGACTCTACAGTTCAACCCTGACCTACAAATATTCTCTTGTATTGATAAAGTTACTGTTAGACACACTGAATTGTGGCCTACATTCCACTTCTGAGAGCAAAAGACATAGCTAACGTACAATCTCACAGAAGATATTGGGTATCTTTGTTTATTGCATTTTAAAAATGAGGCTAATAATGACACGCTTGCTGTATAAAAGTATTAAGATCACAAGGAATTTCTACTATGCAAGCCCTGTTCTTGTTTAGTTGAGTAAAAGGCAACATGACAGAATTAGATATGAAATTGGCTAGATTTCCCTTAGATACTAAAATTTAGAGTCATTCAAGCATAAAGAAATGGGAGAATTTATTCTCACAGCACTTATGCAATTCACAAATAGACATATTACAGTTCAGCACTCTAGACAAATTCATGGAGGATACAGCTACAAATAGTTTCTGGACATCCTAAAAATATCTCCTTCCAGGATCAGGAAAGCACACTTTTGAAGAAAAATTGCATAGTGCAATGAAAGAGGACCAAACTTATACTTAATGCTGATAGGTCATTGATCTGAATTATTTTTGGTCTCTTGTTATGCAATTACGATATTTTCATATACTGCTTTGGAATAAAGTCTTAAGTACTCATATTGATGTAATAATTACTTCCAAATCCAGAAGTACCTGTCACCCAACCCCCTGGACTGGATCTAGAACAATGTGTTTGCTTTTTAATGAACACACAAAACCAAGTGTGTTGCAGGAAATGGTTCTAATAAAATCTGAGGAGAAAGCCAACTCATGAGCACCAGACTGCTGTACCAACTGAGCAAAACTAAAGACAGAAAACTCATTTCTCATAAGTAGATTAGTCATGGCCAAGTGTGTGGGAAAAGATTGCCAACTGTGATCCATTTCCTAACATAGCCAAGTAAGACTCCAACAATCTTGCTGATTAAGAATGGTCAACCTGAAGATAAGAATCTTTGATTCAAAGAATCTTTGATTCTGTTTTCATTTCAAAGGAGCTGACCAGTGGTGGGATTCAAATAATTTAACAACCGGTTCTCTACCCTAATGATTTCTTCCAACAACCAGTTCACCAAACTGCTCAGAAAGTTAACAACCGGTTCTCCCGAAGTGATGCGAACTGGCTGAATCCCACCACTGGGGCTGACATAAAGGAATTTTTAGTTTCTGCTTATTGTATACCAATTATTAAGTTTCACGTAAGCACAAGCCATGGAATTTTTAATTCTCCCTCCTATAATAAAAGTCCAGGGCTAATCCACCCTTTCTCTGTGTAAGAGTCAAGAGCACTCAGCTCATGATACCAGCAATTCCTGATTCTCTCCTATGACAAATACATACTGGGATATAAAAGTAGTAGACAAATAAATACCAATCTTTGCATTTTATTTAAATAAGTCCAAAAAGGAATAGAAAAACAGTTTTTAGAATTAGCTTGCTAGAATTAGTGCAGAAGAGTGTTTATGCAAGAAAGAATAAACATTCTTATAACACAAAGCAGTTGCTATAATGCACAGTAGAGATTTCCTGCTTTACATATACATAGTAAGACAAGAAGAACTCAATACTAACATACTGAAATTGATACATAAATTAAACCAATCATGCCTAGAAGTGAATACAAATGTAAGCAAGTGTTATCTTAAAGTGTTCCGTGAATCCAAAATATCTCCTAGGTGAAATGAATTTGAATATAAGTATGTCCTAGGTTTGAAGCCTGCTGTAATGCTTCTATTTAGCAAGAATCCAATACTGGAATACTTTCTGCTGAAAAATCAAATGCGAATTTTAGTTGTTTTTTCTCCGGGCAGTGACTGACCTGATTCCTTAAAATAGCTGCATTTTTATTCATTTTTAAAAGAAAATTAATAAAGCATGATGTCCACCAGTGCTTTCTTTACTTCTGAACAAACACAGGTTTCTTTTTTTCTTTCCTTCTTTTCCTGCTTTTCTGATTCTTTTTATTTAGATGCAGAAAGTTAGAGTCAAGTAAAACATCACTATGATATTTTTCAGGCAACAAATCAACATTTGTCTGATAATTCATGTTTTTGAGCATTCTTCTCGCCTGTAAAACAGTCCTCAGAAGGAGTAAATTGCAAGGAAGAAGCAGAATATTTTTACTCAGATAAGTTTCATTTTGCCATCCAGGAATACGTAATATCCCTTTTGCAATAGAGTTATTGTCTCTTTTTCATGTCTACCACAGATTTCCCACATGTCCTTAGAAAAATGCTTTTCTCTTATATTGGCAATAACAGCAATAAATGGCATTCTTATAATCCCATAAGAAGGTGAATGCTGTTTGGGACCACAGATACCATCAGTATTGAAAAGACCCACAGGATGCATAGACTCACATATCACTTTCCCTTACTTGCTTACACATTCCACTTTTGCAGATGTAGAAGCAGTATCCAGGAAGAGCCCATGACAGATACGGTACTATATTGAGGTCTACTATAGTGTGTTATGAATGATTAAATGTTGGATTTCTGTGATTGGACTTACATCTCCTGCTGTGTTTTCTACACTGTGTTTTGAGCTTTCATGAAGAAAGCTTGTACTGATTGCTTAGTTTGCCATCCTGGAAAATACAAGGACAAATGAATATGTATACTTTGGTTAATGTAAGGGATTTGTCTTTCTCACATGTCAAGATGATGCATGCACATAGTAGCATCATTAACATATAATCTACACAACATCTCTGCAATGGCATACACAGATGCTATAATATATATATATGTGATCATAAGTTTTTTAAACATATGCTTATTGCTTAGCGATAGTAGTTCCAGTTGCTCTTGTTAAGCAAGGACTTACAACTTGCAATTTCTACACTGATTTTTTGTTTGTTGAAATCAGCAGGGAAGGTGCTAAATGGCAATCACGTGATTGTGGGGAAAATTCAGCAACCTTATCACGATAGGGCTGAATAAGTAAGTACCACTTATTCAGCACCATTGCAAGTTCAAACAGTCACTGAATGAGAGGTCCTTAAATAAGGACACCTGTAGTTCCATTAATTCATAAAGGAGAAATTAATCGTATCATTCAACCAATATGAAGTAAAAGCATGGCAGGATCGTAACTTATGCAGACAGTAGAAGTTTTGAATTCCCTTTCTAGTGATACTTATTGCTTTTCATTAAGTATACACTCAAATGCACTCAAATTCTGATGCTCTGTAAGAAATTCATTTAAACAAGACAAATGCCAAAGGAATTATTGGCAAGAATGTGAAAAATAAAGAGAGGGAAATATCCTACTTAGCAGATGTTGAAAAGAACAGACGGAATAAAGATTTTTTTCTTTAAAAATATTTTGTAAATAGAAGCAATAGCACTTAGACATATACCGCTTTACAGGGCTTTATAGCCCTCTCTAAACAGTTTTCAGAGTCAGCCTATTGTCCCCAATAATTTGGGTCTTCATTTTATCCACCTCGGAATAGGCTGAGTCAACCTTGAGCCTGGTGAGATTTGAACTGCCAACTTGCAGGCAGCTGGCTGTCAGCAGAAATAGCTTGCAGTACTGCACTTTAACCATTGCACCACCATGGCTCATAAAGACAAGGTTATGAACAAAACTGTTCATAACCTTGTTTTGGCCCATTGAATGAATCAAGCAGTGGTGCACTCTGAACCTATTCCATCAAATCAGTGTCATCTTATAGGATTCAATAAGTGTGGTTTCTGTACTGCAGAACCTGCCCTCTGAAATAATATCCACACTCTCAAATTTGTGAGACTCCCACCTTTATGACATTCCCCTTTTTTTTTTGTCCTCCAAGCTGGTTATGGAAGCCCTTAGCTTAGGTTTATTCTAATGGTTGGCTGTGTTCTCTTGTATATGTGTGGTTTCATTTCTTTTAATTGCAATCTTCCAAGAGCCATTTATATGTGTAGTTTCATTTCTTTTAATCGCAGCATCAACATTTAAATAAATAAATATTATTTATAATAAATAATACCTAAATATATTATTTTATAATAAATTATATTTACACCCCCCCCCCAATCTCTATACATGCATACGTATTTAACATATGTTTTTAGGTTTAGGCATATATTGTGTTATAGTATATGCACCTTAACTAATGTTACATGAAAAAGAAATTGAACTAACGTGGATTTCAAAAAGTGGTTTTCAAAAAGTGTGTTTATATAAGTCAGCTGAAATCATTTTAAGGCAAATTCTAATGCAACAAATATATACATATATAATTTTCTACTAACAATTGACCTTACTGACCATTGTATTGTTGTGTAACTATTCTTAGCAAAGATTAAATAAAACCTTGCTTTTCATCTCCATGCATGAGTCAGAAGTAGCTAATATTATGCAGCAGCTAAACAAAGAATTTTATCTATCCTATTTTCCGTTAAAAAACAGATAACAGTATGAATCAGAAAATAGGAAATGTTTATGCCCTCAATATTACCAAAAACATAACTAGAATAAATATATTGTGTACCCAATTCATGCTGTCGGATCAATACACAGTAAAAAAGAAAAACCCTTCTATCCTTTATCAAGTCTTTAGTGAGAGATATTTGATTACCAATGGATTTTCAACAGCTCATCAGATTTCCTTCCTCCCTACCCTTTGTGAACAGAACTCAATGTTAGATTCCTGAGAGTTCCACGTAAAGAAGATATACTTTGACCAGCTTCTGTTGTTGCTGTTCTGTTGTAATTTGTAATTTTGTTGTTGCTGTTATTCAATCTTTACATTGCTTCTGGCTCTTTGTGAGACACTAAACATCAGTCTTCCACAACTGTCTATTATGTATCCCAAACATTTATGCTTTAGCTTTGCCATTAGTGCTTCCACTGAGCGGTTTGCTTTTATTTAATCTAGTATTGAATTATTTGTTTTTGCATAGTAGAGTCAGTTCTCATATAGCACAATGACTCCATTGTTAGGAAACCCTTGTATACAAAATTATACAATCTGAATAATAGGTTTTATGGGGAGGAAATAGAGTTGGGCCAGACCACTCAAGAATGAAAACGCATCTGTAACCAAAACATGACCAAGCAAACTAAATAATCCAGTATTTCTCCTGATTATCCATAACTTCATCTCATATAGACGTCAAGGGGTGGCTAATAAGGAAGGACTGTTTGATGAGCTGAGTCTTGAATGTAGTTTTTTCAGTTGTTTTATTTTTGAAAGTATATATGGAAATTGGAAAAAAAATTGCTCAATTCAAACTTTAACATATGCATGGCATGACAAAACCGCGGTCCACTAAAGCGCGCCCGATTAAAGCACGTACCTGACGTCATCAGCAGTGCGACAAATACGACCACGGAGAAAAAAGGGCACTTTAAAAAGCGCTTTTAAAGCAAGCCGATTCACATTAAGGTAAGGGTTAGGTTTAGGTTTAGGGTTAGGTTAAGGGTTAGGTTTAGGGTTAGGGTTAGGTTTAGGGTTAGGTTAAGTGTTAGGGCTAGGTTTAGGGTTAGGTTAAAGGTTAGCGTTAGGTTTAGGGTTAGGGTTAGGTTAAGGGTTAGGTTTAGGGTTAGGTTAAGGGTTAGGTTTAGGGTTAGGTTTAGGGTTAGGTTTCGGGGGGTTAGGTTTAGGTTTACGCGTTAATTTTAGCTTTACCGCTCACAGCGTGCTTTTTTTGTCGCGCTGTGATGACGTCAGGTACGCGGTTTCGTTGAGCGCGCTTTAGTCGACCGCAGTTTTGTGGTGGAACCTAACATATGTACAAATAAGTGCACACGATACTGGGTAGAATCTTGTAAGTTTTTTGTGACTGTTTTTTTTTTTGTCAGAGAGGCATCTTGTTTCCTTTCTTCTTCATAGAGTGTAGGGAAGCCAAGGTTGTTTTATCTTACAGCAGGTCTGTCTATCCATTTATTGTTGCTTTACATCTATCACTTTATTTAATTCTTATTGCTGCAAACCGGAATTGGTAACTGCTCAAGTCTCAAAACTCAAACAAGCTATAAGTCAAGTAAACAAGTAAGTAAAAAAGTAAAGAATATTATTGAACATGTGAGTACTTGCATATTCCCAGTCCTGTTGCTTGATAGGGTCTTCAAATCTACCTTTAAAGATTTCTGTGCCTCCCATATCCACAATGGAAATATGAAATATACTGCTGGAGTGATATCATCATCCAGGTTGAGCATAATGTAAGATGTCCAATACAGGATTTTAAAAGTTTTAATCCAGTTCAGTAATTAGTAGAAAACTATTTACATTCATATATATTTTCTGAATGAAGAATACATAGATAATGAACAAGAAGGAGAAAGGGTTATCAAAGGTTTATTTAATGCACAAAACATACCTGAAAGCAGCATTGGATCTTTGTCAACGGATTTGCGGACTTGATCTGACTCTCCAGTTAAAGAGCTTTCATCAATTTTAAGATCGTTTCCTTGAATAAAAACTCCATCAGTAGGTAGTAGGTCACCTATCAGTAAAATCATAAAGAGAAAATCTAATTTGAAAAGGTGTATTTATTTTGCAATGTATGAAACTTCCTTACTCCAGATTTCCATAATTAATGTATGAATCTTCAAATCACTGCAATCCAAATAAAAATAGATGAACCTTTAGTAAGTTTATCAGAGTACTACCACCTGGTGAATCGATTATTGCTCTCTCTCTCTCTCTCGCTCTCTCTCTCTCTTTTTCTCTCTTGTTGCTAATTATCAGCCCATCAGAAGTAATGTCTATGCTAAATATCCACATATACAGTATATTGTTTGACTGGATCAATCTAGAGCATATTTTAGCATATGGCAAGCAGATTTTTAGAACTGATCGCTCTATCCTTCACCATGGCATCATACTGCAACATCTGTATGAAAATATCCATATAATCCAAACAGGCTTTCACTGACTAATGATGTGCATTTGTCTTATCTTCAGAAGAAGCTTGTGTGATAAACTTAAAAATACTTCTGTAGACAGACAGCTACTGTTATGTACGCATAACCTTTATGACAATTCTAAAATAAAATATTCTTGCAGCCTTTACACTAAAGAAAACCCAAGCCAAGCAGGTATAAGAAAGGAGTGCTTTTAGTCCCCTTGTTTAATTGTATATTAACTTTCTTTTGGTCAAACTAACTAAATTACCACATCAGCATCTGAAATTAGCCAATATTCCAATCCTACTCTGTATAGAAAATGTAGTGCTTTTGTCACAAACTTCAATTGGACTTAAGCAAACCTTGAGTACCTTAGCCAATTACTGTTCTGTGGAAGTACAAAAAAATCAATTATTCAAAAACTAAGATCCCAATTTTTGCAAAGCAACATGGAGTGCATACAAGGAGGTTAAAAAGCCAGATTATACAGCAGAGAAATTTTTCAAAATCTTAGGCATGGTGTTCCATTGTTTTTCTAAATGCAGTGCATGCAAAAATTATGTTATCCAAAATGCACAAAAAGCAGTAATTTCTAAGCATATCTGAGCAGTACTGAAGCTTTATTAACCCAAAGAACAACTATAATTATTGTTTGGTGCACAGTTGGATCCTTAAAGCTCTTTGGCTCTACTAAAAAGAGCTTAATCCATATTTTTAAAGATTATATCCAAATGGCTCCAATGTTCCTAATGTAGTGTTAGAAAAGGAGACAGATTTCACCAAAGTTGAAACACGTACATAGATTTGCATGATTTCATATTGTTCTTTTTAGAATGTCTGAGCTCTTTCCTTAATGAGAACAATTCCTAATTAATATGAAACAGGACAATTGTACAAAAAAATGCTATCGCTATAGAGATAAAGATATATAGATATAACTTTTGTAAACTAAACTTGATATTTCAAATTATAAATTGATACAAGCAGAGCTAGAAATACAATATTTAGATATGTCTTTTGTAAACTACAGCCACTATAATTGCTCCATATGTTTTAGGTTGTTTTTCCCAACTTGCCTGCCTGACTTTCTCTTTAAAATGTCACTTCAAATTTCCTTAATAAGCAATATCAGGTTGCAATGTGTTCTCATCTTAACAGTACAATTCCACTGACTATGTGCTGGACTAAAGCTGAATTTTGGTTCATGTCATGGATAAAAATAATATTGGGCTCATGTTACAGCAAGCCAATCCAAATATATAGAAAAGATTAAGCATGCCATTTTTTTTCACTGAGATAGATAGAAATGGTGTTCTTGACATTGGGATGTTTATTATTATTATCAGAAATATACTCAATTTCTTTATTAAGGATGGATGCTATTCCATCCATGCTGCAACCACAACATTTCAAGGTATGAAGAAATATTGCTCTTTTTTGTCTTCATTAAGCACCTCTTAATATTTTGGGGTGCATCCCTATCTATTCTTCCTCAAATTATTCTTCAGTTGATTTTCACTAACTGATTTCCCAATACCATTATTGCTCCTCAATTACATGGTACCAACCAGTGATTTTATCTATCAACTTGAGCTAGTTCTTTGATCACTAAATATAATATTATGTTACTCCTTAAAATTGAAAAACAAATTTAACATTTTTTTAAATAATTGATTGTATGTTATATTACATTTTTGCTGTGTATTATAAGGAATCGGCCTTAAGTTTATTAGCAACTATTTTCTTGCTACTATTTAATAGGTTATAAAAAATTCCTAGGAATTCAGACATAAACTTTCTAGAAAGTATACAAAAAAACATACCATATTTGACTTGTGCAATGTCACCAACTACAATCTCTGCTACAGGAATCTGAATTACATGTCCACCTCGGACTACGGTAAACTTTTGTTCTTGTTCAATACGACTCTGAAGTCCACGGAACTGCTTCTCTTTGCTCCAGTCATTAAAGGCTGTAACCAGCACCACACATATAACCGAGAGCAGAATGGCAGCCCCTTCAATCCAACCAGCTTCTGCCTCACCTTCATCTTCACCTCCTCCTGCAGCGGTGGCACACGCTGGAGAACAACAGCCAAAAATAAGACATTACTTGAAAATTATGAAAACATCATCTGAAAATTATGAAAATTATAAAAACTGTAGAATTTTAATTTTTAATATTGCAGATTCTGATAATATAATGTCACACTTACAGTTAACACTATGGGATCTAAGATAGCATTTTAGAGAAACTAAGAAAGAACAGTTACATTTCTGCAAATGGATTATTAAATAAATCTAATTATTAGATTTCATCATATACATTCTAATATGTAACACAGTAGTGTTTGAGAGTCAGTTTGGTGTAGTTAGCCTAAAAATTAGACCGTAGGTTCTAGTGCCACTTTAGCAGAGTGGTATTCAGCAGGTCCTGACCAGTTCTGGAGAACCGGTAGTGGAAATTTTGAGTAGTTTAGAGAACCAGTAAATGCCACCTCTGACTGGCTCCACCCTATCTATTCTCTGCCTACCGAGTCCTAGCTGATTGGGAAAAAAATGGGGATTTTGCAGTAACCTTCCACTGGAGTGAAGAGGGAATGGAGATTTTACAGTATCTTTCCCCTGCCATGCCCACCAAGCCACACTCACCAAACCACTCCCACTCCCAGTAGTAAAAAATATTGAATCCCACCACTGCATTTTAGGCACAAACCCACTTCAGGCACTAGTCATTGTCTCTCAGCCCTAGGAAGAAGGCAAGGGCAAATCATTTCTGAAAATCTTGCCAAGAAAACTGCAAGGACTACTCCAGGCCATTGTCAGGAGTCAACACTGCTCAAAGATATCAAAATAATACACTATCTGAAATTTTGCTGTCCAAGAGGCTGGGCTTCAGAGAGGCTGAGCTTCAGAGATAGAGAACCTTGGATACTTTATTCCAGCAACTGTTGAAAAATTATCCTTATATATTAAAGTTGGAGGTCTGACATCAGGAGACACAAGTAAGGAACAGATCAAAGAGTATTCCCTGGCATTGAACGGAAGAAGCTATGAATAAACAATACCCTAATTCTCAATGCTACTGACTCATATCCACAGATTGGCCAGGAATGGAGGAAATGAGAACTAAACCTGATGACTCTACTTTGGTGATGGTATCCAAGATAGGACAGAGAGGGCAAAATCCAACAAGTGTTCCAACCAGGGTTGATTTTACTGAGGCTCCAATCCCACCCATATATTATGTTTTAGTTCTTTCAAAAAGCATTACATATACATGTAAAATAATATTTTATTTTATACCAATATATGCAAATTCTTCTGCAGTAAGAATTTGGATTCAAAAGGTGGATTGTATTACATAGAATTCAAAGACACGCTTTGTACTTAACTGCTGACCTCAAATTACTTTTAAATGCAAAGGAACTACTTATGCAATTCTGATTCTATTCAAGCACCAATTGCTCTTACTATTTTTTCAAGTCTTCTTCCAAGTCTGTGCCTATTGTATGTTGGAAAATTCTTGGCCAAGCTATAATTCAGGGAGACTGATTAAAGGTAGGGGTAATATGAGGAGTGATGCACCTATCTTCCCAACACCAAATGATTACACTTACTACGATCCCTTGGCTCTCCCTACAGTGGACATCAGTAAACATTTCAGGCAACAGGTGCAGTATCCCAAGCAATAAAAATACTATAATAACACATACATATAGTATATTTAAAAAATATTTGAAAAAAATAGAAAGAAAATAAAAACAACACAAAATTCGATAAGAAAGAGAAGAAAAATCTTTTGAGATAAGGCATTTACAAGATTTTAAATATATTCTCTTTCTCTTTATGTGAGTGAGGGAGGGAGGAAGTAAATGTGCATATGTGTGTGTGTGTACACACACATGCCTATGAGACTGTTCATTAATATTATCTGCCTTTGCCTATGTTTTACTTTTCCATTAAGTCTTGTCTTCCTTATGCATCTATCAAAATGTATTTGTCACCTTAGGCTATAATAACCCTGTTTGCCTCTGACTGGAAATACTGCTTTTATCTGCTTTCCCTTCAGTGTCCCCAGATACACATTTAATTTCTATAAGCATAGAATCTTACAAAACAGTATTTGAATTCACAGACACTGAAGAAGGGGGGTTCCTTTTGAGCATCCTCTGACACTTGCAGTATGTTCAGTCTACAGAGCTTCATAATTTCTGCTGTGTAGGAAACTGATGTAATGTTATGGCAGTGCCTTGGAGGTACTGACCACCAGTAACAGAGGTGGGTTCCTTCCGGTCCTGTCAGGTACACCAGAAGAGGTAGTGAAAATCTGGCGTACCGGACCGGACTGGTAGTAATGGTGGCTTGGCCACGCCCCCAAATCTCCGTCAGAAGCTTTTTTTTTTTAAGCTCTTTTTCCCTGCCGGATTAGGCAAGGAAAAAGAGGTTTAAAAACTAAAAGAGAGAGTGGGGGGAGAGGGAGGAAAGAAGGGAAGGGACAAAGAAAAAAAGAAAAAGAAAAAAGGAATCTCACTTTTTAACCGGGATACAGCAAAGTAGAAAAAAATGCTATTGCTTTAAATCGGAACTGAACATGCCTGGCTGTGGAATTCTGGGAGTTGAAGTCCTCAAGTCTTAATGCTGCAAACTTTAAATTGCAACCTGATTTAATTTGAAAAACTGCTCAAAAGGAAGTTTGCAAAGTGACATACAGTTTGTTTCTGGGTCAACTGAACAGCAAACTGGATAAAAGGTAGGATTCTTATATGGTTCTATGTTTTTGAAGTTTTGGGGTTTGTGCAATATGGCAAAGAAAGAAAGAAAGAAAGAAAGAAAGAAAGAAAGAAAGAAAGAAAGAAAGAAAGAAAGAAAGAAAGAAAGAAAGAAAGAAAGAAAGAAAGAAANCCACTGAATTTCATTTTATTAGATAGTGTCCAATGTTCACGTTTGTTCATGTTTATGGATCTCTTCCAATTGCAGTATCAATTAGAAATGTGGCTGTCCTTCAAAAGACATCATTTGGTATTATTTTCCCAGCAAAGGGAAATATTTGTGCTTGTACACCTCTGAATAGTTTGCAGTAGGAGTTAGAAAAATATGCATCTTCTTTAATAGTTTGACAAGAAATGCTTCGTAACATTTCCACGCATTCAGAAACAATTTTTCCAAAAGATTTGTACAAAAATCAACATTAAGTTAGAACCACTGCAATGAAAACAGAGTTCATAGATGCTACTGTATCTATTGCACAAAATATTCATGATACTTCCAAATTAACTTTGTAGAGATAGTGCTGAAAAAAAAATTCACAGGCACATAGTAAAAAGCTGTGAATAAGCAACTAAATAAAATGGAGTAACAAACATAATTTTTATATTGCAATGTATTTGGACATGTTTAAGTGGAAAGTCAATTAAAGTTTATTCTAGGGCAACCCAGTGCAATCATCCATGTATCCCCAGATACTTGAGAACTATAAAGCTTCCTGTCCAAAAAGTATGCATGCTACAAGTACCGATATCTGGTACTATCTTTATGTATACCACAGTGATTCCCCCCCCCCCCATGTTTCTTAAAAACATCAAATATGGTAAATGACTGCTGCTTAGTGTGGAAGAAAATAAGGCAAGGTAAGCCACCTAAAACAGACATCTCAGATTGCCACACTAGATAATTAAATAATGAATAGAAAATGATCTGGCAGAGATGTGCAGTTTAACAGCAGTACTCAGGAAACAGAGATGATGATAACTGGTAGTATTATTTTGCAATATGAATACATCAGAAGTAGTATTCAGCAGGTTCTGACCAGTTCTGGAGAACCAGTAGTGGAAATTTTGAGTAGTTCATAGAACCAGTAAATACCACCTCTGACTGGCCCCACCCCCATCTATTCTTTGCCTCCTGAGTCCCAGCTGATCGGGAGGGAATGGNTAGATTTAGATTTAGATATAGATATAGATATAGATATGATATAGATATATATATAGAAATAGATATAGATATAGATATAAAACCATGATCGTACATACAACAATCTATCAATTAGTAAAACCTTTTCAGTAAAGTACACAATGCTGTCTATCAATCTAAAAGGAACACTACAAATGATTATTTACAGATGTGCTTAATTCTCTTACACGTCTTAACCTTTTTCTTTTAGAAAGTCCCAGTAGGAGCTTAGTAGCCAAAATATTAACATCTGACAAATTTATTTATTCATTTTTATTTATCAAATTTACTGGCATTAAATTAAAATGCATTTAAAATGCATTGGTAGAGATGTGGTGTTATTCTAGTAATAAGCACAAGTTCCTCTTGTAACCTTGCTTACAAAACCAATGCCACAAATGTTGAGTTACCTTTTCATGGTTAAAACACATTACAGAACTTGCCAAACACAACAGAGGCCAGGATGACCTGCTCAGGAAACAATGCTACATTTACCTCAAGACACACAAACCTAATGCAGCACAAAGAAACTTGAAAAGATCCTGATCCTTTCATTTCTAAATAGCACCATAGTTCTGTCACATGCAAACACAAGGCAGATGTCACATGCAAACACCAGGTCCTGGTTTTGTTCTTCTGTTACGTACACGTATATCACAGAAGTGAGTACACACCCTCATATTTTGTAAATATTCAAGTATATCTTTCCATGTGACAACACTGAAGTAATGACACTTGGCTACAATGTAAAGTAGTGAGAATACAGCTTGTATAACAGTGTAAATATGCTGTCCCTTCAAAATAACGCAACACAATGTAATGTTGTGTTATTTTGAGGGTACAGAACATTTACACTATTATACAAGCTGTATACTCACTACTTTATATTGTAGCCAAGTGTCATTACTTCAGTGTTGTCACATGGAAAGATATACTTAAATATTTACAAAATGTGAGGGGTGTACTCACTTCTGTGATGTACTGTTATCTAGGAGGGATGTCCTTAAATCAGAAGGGAGTTGCATAGCTTTGTGGCATTTCACAAAACCTTTACTGATTCAGGGCATGATTTAAGAATTACACTGAAGAATAGCCAATTAGAAGTTACAGACATGTACCCAAGTAGCAT